GATTAAGATTTGAAATTACTTGATGTATTTCTCTACTTCCAATACATACGTCCCATCCTCACTTTCATCCTTCCAGTTTCAAAGAACTGCATGTCCTTTTCTGGATGATTTATCCATCTTTGTTCATCTTCTCATTGACCCTCAGGCTATTATCACTAGTAGTGGTGAGAATGTAGTACATTTAGAATGACTTCTTTTCGTTTTTCTCATGAGATCCACAAAATAGCTTAATGTCATTTAGATTCTTAAGTGCCCAGAGGAATCCCTGGAAGTAATTTGCTTTTCCTGTTTATTCTGAAAAACAAATGTCAAAAATTCTGAAATAATCTGTGATTGCATGTGTTAGTCAGAGGTAACCTATTTGGTCCCTAGTTAGTAGGACTTCTGGGGAAACTAGGATTAAAATTAAAACTGGCACATCAATTAAATCCAGGATTTGTTCACCTGCTGTTGAACCAAAGCACACCTGCTGTTGAACCTAAGCACACCAGCACAATGGATTCTCAGTGCACCAAGTCCCAGAGGTTAAGGTCTGCTTTAAGTTTGCCAAATTCTTTGATGACATGTTGTAGAGGTCTCATCTATAGATTTATATATATTCAGTGGGGTAAAAGGTTTATTGTTGTTTGTCTACAAGCTGATTAGCATTTTGATCAGAGCCTTAAATGAATATGCAAAATGCATATGGATCAAACTTGGAATGGCATAAATCTGGAAGGGATAGCCAGTGTTTTGATGAAAGGACATAAAATTATCAGATCAAAATTGAATTTTAAATCAAAACAAACAAGAGGAAATGTAACAGGGTACGTATAAAGGTTGGCATTTCCATTAAAGAAAATCAGTTACCCAAGTATGGAATGGGAATAAGGAAAACCTATGTTTATTACAGTTAATGTGAAAAATGTCCTGAGCATTTGAGAAGACTTAAGTGAGCTGTGATAAAATATAATAGTCTCATTTTATTCTGCACTGTTGTATCTGGAATACTGTGACAAATTTTGGGAGCCACACATGGGACTTTAACATCTGGACAGATGTCAGTTAATCTAGCACAATGTGGGGGATTTTTCCAACATGACTTTTTGGGGAAAAGGGGAAGGCAGTTGGGATCATCCAAGAGAGAGAAAGTGTATGGGGCTGTGATTTGTTCCTTCAGTCACCTGAAGCTCTCTCAGATGGGAGAGGAATCAACTGTCTTGATTTATAAGGCAGAATCTAGAACACGTGGGCAGAAGCTATAGGGAGGAGATTTTAACTTTAATCTAAGAAAGAAATTTATAACAATCGCAGTTCAGCAGTGGATTATGGTGCTTCACAACCTCGTAAACTTTTTGTCACTCTGTGTGACGGGCCTGGCTAGAATACTAACCTGAGATCCTGAGATGCCAGCAGAAGGGACTCTTGGAATGAGTAGAAAGTTGGACTACCTTGAAAATGCTTTCCAACTCCTTGATTTTTTTTAATTAATTCAAGATTAATGCAATTTAAAGAGTCATCTTTTTTTAAAGAGTTATCTTTTTATATATTTTATGATATCTGATTTACTTTCGGGGAAGTTACTTCATGTGTACTCATGTTTCAAATATCAGCTGTATTTTTCCATGAAAAGTATGAGAATGTTCACATGACTTAGTATTTAGAAGTGTCAGTAAATTGACATAGTGAAGACAAGTGTCTTTGACATTCATATGCTGTCAAACCACTTCATTTCTGTTCTCAGTAAGATTAGGGATGTTTTTTTCTCAATCCTCTGGGCCAGGATGTATTTCATTATTCTGAATTTTAATGAAAGACCCGTGCATTCCCAATGCACATTTTATTGGCTCTTTGTGAATCTTACTGGGTATGTAAATCAAGAAATAGTAAAAAAAAAAAAAAAATTATCTCCAAGAATAGCATGTTAGGAAACACTTCTAATTAGTCCTGTAGAGGTTCTGGATACCCCTGTTTGCCAGCTTTGTCCTCCTTCATCCTAGACACCTTCCATGCCCCACCACCTTCTTTGCTGCCAGCATTGCAAGGTGTATCAGCCCTTGAAATTAAATGTTTTCACTTTCTTATACCAGAGAAAACCCCAATATGGTTTTCTCCATCTAAATCTCTATAATTATATTCAAAAAGTCTATATATTGATGATGTTGATGTTGCTACAGGTTTTAGAATCTACTTTTGGAATAGGACTTGAAATTGATAGCAGCTGTAGGTCATGTTTTCTTGTGATGCGTCCTGGAGAGCCACAGGACTAGTTGGATACCACCTTATAGTGATGTGATGCAGTATATGGTAGGCTATCGGGCTGAGTATGGGCAGCTCTAGAAAAGTTGTAGTGTCTATTTTCTGACTGTGGCTTAGCTGAACATTCTTAACCCAGGACCTAGCATCTGGGCTGGTTCATATAAAAGATCTTATTTGCAGGCCTGGCTGAACTTAGCACTTTCAGAAGGGAGCAGGGTTGTAGTAGTTGGTGAAAGGACTATGTCTGCAGGAATGGGATAGTCACATGAAACAGTTTCCTGACTGTTCTGGGGCTTCAGAAGTCATCAGAGGAAGACACTGTTGTTCAAACTTACAGTCCAGAGTTATAATCCTGTTTTTGTCCTTGGCTGGCTGCTTGTGTTGGGTGAGGTTTACTTTAGCCAGTAGATGCCTGGGCCAGAAAGGAAAATCATAATATCTGCCTGTTGTAGTGGCCCAGTTTCACTCATCAACACTCATTCCAAGTTGTAATTATTGAAGACATCGGTGTGGTTATGTGGACTTAAAAAAACAAATGCTTAAGCTGATATTTAATAAGTGTGAAATGCATTCAAAATTTGTATTACCCTTAAATTTGATAATATATACAGATTTTCTGTTTATCCTTATTCTTATGTTCCTATACATATAATTGTGTTCTTTTACTGGCACTAAGTATTTGTAGAAAGAGAATATGTTATCTCACCATCTCCTTTTTCTCCTTTCCCTTAATTGTGTATAAACACAATGCACGTGACTTCAACAGCTGATGTCTTAGATGAGGTTGAGTACTACTTACTGTTTCAAGCATTCTACTATCTACTAACTTCTGAGGCTTCTCCTTTGACCACCTTCCCCAGAAGAAAGATAATTATTAATCAGATTTTATTGGAAGTGCAAAAAAGACTATCTGCCTAGCCTAGCACTGCCCAATAGAACTTTCTGCAGTTATGCCAATGCTCTGTACCTGTCCAATACTGTTGCTCCTGGCCACATGCAGTTATTGTGCACTTGAAACGTGACCAGTGTGACTAAGGAACTAAATTTTAAATTCTATGTAATTTTAATTAACTTTTTAAAAAATATTTTATTTATTTATTTGACAGAGAGAGAGATCACAAGTAGGCAGAGAGGCAGGCAGAGAGAGAGGGGGAAGCAGGCTCCCTGCTGAGCAGAGAGCCCGATGTGGGGCTTGATCTCAGGACCCTGAGACCATGACCTGAACTGAAGGCAGAGGCTTAACTCACTGAGCCACCCAGGTGCCCCTTTAATTAACTTTAATTAAATAAAAGGACTAGTGGCTTCTATATTGGATTATGTTGGATAACACAGCAATTGCCAAAGAATTCATAACATAAGAAAATGTAAGTAAGTGTACTAATCAGTGGGATTCACCATCTAAACACTTCTTTTGAGCCAAATGGCACTTAAATGCAGCATCACTGGGCACCATAGTGGCTCAGTTGGTTGAGCATCCGACTCTTGGTATCGGGTCAGGTCATGATCTCAGTGTTGTGGGATCGAGCCCCACTTTAGCCCTGTGCTCAGCCCAGAGTCTGCTCAAGATTCTCTCCCTCTCCCTCCCTCTTTGCTCCTCCCTCTGCTTGCTCTCTCTCCCTAAAGTAAATGAATAAAATCCTTTAGAAATAATGCAGCATCAGCTTTGGAGATATTAAGGTGATCAAGTGAGGAAAAAAATCAACATCCATCTAAAGCATTTATAATTAATAATGAAGATCATTCTCTATGCCATCCTAGGTGCTTCACATATCTGCTTTACAGATATGCCATCTATTCTTTTACAAATGTTCCAAGTTAGATCACATTTTTTTCTATTTCATGTAAGAGAAAAAAACTGATGCATGCCATTTTAAAATAATAAACCAACCCAAAGTCCCAGAGCCAGGAAATGGTAGAGCCAAGGTTTGAACCCAGCTAGGATTCTTCAGTGATATTTCATAATGAACATTTCCTACATTGTCTTTCAGAGCAGATGTGCATATCTCCCTAGTCATCATTGAGAAAGAGGATAGAGGTTAAGAACATGAGCCCTGTCGTGACGTTACCTGATTTGAATTTGTCTTCTATTACTCATCACCTGTGTGAACTCAAGCACATTACTCAATAACTCTGAGCCTCAATTTTCTCATTTAAATATGAATCTACTTCATTGGGTTGTTGTTAGGTTAGATAAGTTTCTCACACAGTGTTTGAACCATAAATACTTGCCATCATCATTTTTAATTTGAAGGGATTGCCATTTATTTTAGGATGTTGCTTTAATGTGATGTTAACAGATGAAATAGATACATGCTTTGGGTATACTTTCCTAGGAAATAAGAGAGATTCTAATATTCAGATGATTCAGTAAGAAACACCCTGCTGTTCAGCCACTTTGGTGTGTCCATCACTGGGATTATAAAATTTCAGAGCCCACATGCTCTGGCCAGTTCCTCATATCTTTGCTTTTCATGTAACCTTTATAGATGTCTCCTTTGGTGTCTTTGATTGGTTCTGAATGCTGAGCTGTGACAAACACCAACACAGCTGGAAAGAGCTGTAAGATTTGCTCTTCTGTCTTCCAGCAGGGAATTATTGCCATGGATACCAGCATCAGAGGGAAACTGGGGAGGATTCTCAACTGGTCTCCTGAGTGGTCTGACATCTGTTTCTGGCAAGGCCAATAACTTGTGTGCTGCAAGCCTCATATCGAATGGAAGACTGATCCATGTTTCTTGCTCTCTCTTTTTTTTAAACCACAGATGGCCTCTTCCCAAGATGCCCGGTATGGCCAGAAAGACTCCTCTGATCAGAACTTTGACTACATGTTCAAATTGCTCATCATCGGCAATAGCAGTGTGGGGAAAACATCCTTCCTGTTCCGTTATGCAGATGACTCCTTTACATCCGCATTCGTCAGCACAGTTGGGATCGATTTCAAAGTAAAAACTGTATTCAAAAATGAAAAGAGAATCAAGCTTCAGATTTGGGTAAGTGACTTTGAAATGACAATGTTCTTCAGTCGAGGGCATTGAACATAGATGTATTTAAGGGAAATGCTTTCTGCCTTGTTCTGTCCCCATGGTGTCCACAGGCCCCATTTCCACGTTCTTTGCTTAGAAAATTCTATTCTATTTCAAAGATAGTAGAGTGATGCCTCTCTAAGGTATGGAGACTGCATTATGCCTTGTTGTGAAAAGATCCTTCTTAGAGTCTTCATATCCTTCTTAGAGTCCAAATATGTGTTGTGCTGGTGGTAGAAGGAACAATCAGTGAGAAGCCAGGCTATCCCTTTTATCATCTGTATGACTTTGGACAAGTCGTGCAGCCCCCATTGCCACTTTTGTAATCTCCAAAATAGGCAAAGTCAGTCTAGCCTTTTAGGTCATAGGAAGCATGCTGTCCTGGGCATTATAAAGAAGAAGGTAAATGACCATGTACAAAGAAAACTTAGGTTTGATCCCTTTATAAAGCCCCAGAGAAAACTTTGAACATGGTCTACTCATACTTCACAGATTGTTTTCTCAGCTCTTTGAGTTACATTTATGCAGATAAAAAACAAAACAAATGAAATAAAATATTTACTTGATAACAGGGTTTTCCTCTAAGCAGAAGGTTTCCCAATAAGTTTTGAGAACATTTGGCTAACTTTCTACCTCTTTTTACTGATGCAGAAGATCAAAATTTCTTTAACTAAATTGTTTGGAAACAATTGGGAGAATAGCAACTAAAAAACAGAAAAAAAAATGTATGTGGATAACAGGTTTAAGGTAATATAAGAATGAGTGAAACTTAGTCATACCATACAAAGAAAGAATTATGTAGTGTGCATTTTTTTGTGTGTATCATATAATATATGAGTACAATGGTGTGGAATATTTCCACAGTAAGTTTTAGTTCTTTTTTTCCTGTTTATTTGTGCCTCTGCCACTCCGATTGACTGGAGCTACAAACAGGCATTTCCTTCCAAGGGGTGTTTTCTATCTTCTTCTAAGACAATTCTGATACCTACTACCATTTTGTGCTAGCCCCAGGGTAGATCTGTAGCACTGATGATTAATCTCCTTCCTCAAATATGGAGAGTTGAAAAAAAGATAAATCCCAGAGTACAACATTTAAACTTTTCTAAAAAAATAAAAACATTTTATTAAGATATCGGTATAAACTGAGTGACCTTTAAGTATCTTAAAGCTCCTAGGAGTAAATTTAAAGATGTAGGTATGTACACAGAGAGGTATCCTTTTAGACAGCTTATAATGGACTCATACTCTTACTTATTTTAACTCTGGAGTTTTCCAGGTCTAATGAGAACTGGTGTAAGAGCTTGGAAAAGTAGTCCCAGCTCCTTCACCACTCTTCCAGCCCCTAAAGCCATTTTTGTTGGGAGGGTCCCTCTTTGGAACTTAAACACACAGCCCATCTATGGAGACAAAAAGAGCTGTGTTCATTGCTTCGCGTTTGAGCCCTGATTTATTCTCTTCCTTTTGAGCTCTAGGCAACCCACTGTCTTATCGGGATAACTTTCATATTCAGGTTTAAGAAAGGCCCCTTAACTCTGAGGAATTTTGGAAAATTGAAAATTAATTTTGTAACCACACATCTCTCAATTCTCTGACCATGTTGTTTCTGCCACTAAAATAACAGTCATTCCTTTGGCTGACAGCTCCTTGTTTCTCCTCACTGCTTTATACCTTACAGATGCCTAACGATGGATGTTGTGATCATTTAGAAACCAACGTGGTGTGTTAAATCTATCTAATAATCTCTAGCAACTTCTCAATCTAGGTTTTTGACAGAAATGTAGCAATACATAATTATCTGTTCTTAATGCAAAACAGATACATTTGAAATAATATAAGAGATTTTTGAGAATTATAAAGTATTTCATATTTACAAAAAATATTTTCTTCAAGACATTCAGCTAGTACCAGACCAGAGCTGATTCATTGAGCTCTCTGGGGGGTTAAAATGAAGTTATTTCTATGTAGGTCTTACTCTTGGATGAAAATTGCTCTCCTTTGAGCCACCCTAAGCTTGAATCAGTCTGTAAGCTGCGTCCTCAAGCTTCTCACCTCCCATCACTTTACTCAAGAAGCCCTGACCTAACTCTCTTTAAATTTTTCTACCACAGTCCACTATTCTTCCAAAACCTCCAACTCTCTTCACAGCCCAGTTCAGTGCAGGACATCATTTTGGGGGTTCCATTTTCCCATTTGGTGGATATTCACACTCCTTTAGGGGTCAGTCACTCAGGAATTTTTCACCTCCCCTTCTCCTTACTCAAAACAGTAGTATAATGGCCACTGTTATCTTTGCAATTAAGGCAGTCTCATTTCTTCCTCTTTAGGGTTATTAGGAACTCTTAATGCACCTATGATTCTAAGGGTGTAAATTACTGTATACCAACTGGTTTCCTAGACTGTGAAACATTCAAAAGAAGTACTATAAAGAGATTTGATGTTCATTGAACTTAGAATTGATTGGAAAAATAAACTAACATTCGTAGAGTAATTATATACTTATGTAAGGAAATACCAATTGTATAACTATTATAGGTAACTAGCATTTATTGATGGTTTGTAAATTTAAAGATGTGGGTATGTACATAGACAGGTATCTTTTTAGGCAGTTTATAATAGACTCTTACTCTTCTACTTATTTTAACTCTGTAGTCTTCCAAGTCTAATTAGAACTGGTGTTAAGAGCTTGGAAATTAGTCCCAGGCCCCTTCACTCATCTAGAAGAGATCCCAAAGCCATTTTTGTTGGGAAGGTCCCTCTTTCTAACTTAAACACACAGCTTTTGCATTGTTAATAATAACTGTGCATTTATCATTCTTATTCTTATTTTATTTGAGAAATCTGAAGGTGGGACAAGATTAGTAGCTTGCCCAAGATCAAGTGTGATGTGTGGCTGATTCCAAGATGGGTCTATCAGATACTAATACTTGGGCTTTTTCCCCTTTACCAAGATGCCATAATTAAGAAGTCTTCTGGAATGCGGTGGTGTTTTTGTGATGATGGCAATCTTAAATTATGGCAATCCTAAATGAAAAATTTGAAAAATTTTGGCCATTTTAATGAATTGAGGCATGCCGAGGATGATAGGATAAAGAATAATAGGGTGGTATGCCTAAGTATAGGTATACCTACAGTAATTCTAGGGATCCTTGCTTTATGCTGTCATATAAGTATATTGGAAAATATTTAATTGTGTACAGTTTTTATCATTTAACATCTTCAACTCATTTATTTGGGAATATATTTGGCATTGGTGATTTTTCATCTCATCTTATTTTAATAACCAATTAACCGTTTTTCCCAGCTTATGGTATTTTTATGTACTTATATTAACTTGTAACTGATTCTTTTGGATATCCACAATTGTCTTAGCCTATGCTGCACAGTCATTCCTCCTCACACTTCTGACACCAAATGTGTGGTGTCAGAAGATCAATTAATGCTTCAGCTCTCTGTAGCCATCAACTAGCTGTCCTATAATTTAGTTCAATTCTGATACTAACTACATGGAGCTAACACAGACCCCAGAGATAAAGGGCCCCATTCTGCCTCTTTTACTTCAGACTCCAGTCACAAGTCTGGGCTACCTATGCTTCTGACCTACAGACTCTAAGTTGGGGGTCCCATTACTTCAGCCTCCAGAGTCAATTATTTGTTAGAATAACTCACAGAACTCAGGAAAGCAGTTCACTTACTATTACCTGTTTATTATAAAGGCTAGAACCCAGTAACAGTCAAACAGAAGAGAAGAATAAGGCAGTTTCAAGGAAGAAGGGTAGACACAGCTTCCATGCCCTCTCTAAGCATGCCATACTCCCAGCATCTTGATGTGTTCACCAGCTGAACTTCATTTTTTAGGATATTTATGGAGCTTCCATTACATAGGCACTGTTGATTAAATCATCGGCATTTGGCGATTAACTCTCCCCTCCCAGAGGATGGGATTTGGGGCAGGGGCTGAAAGTTCCATATCTTTACCCAGACAGGCTGAGGTTGTTGATATGGTTCTGATTATTTCATTAGTTTTAAACTGTCCATGAATAGGACTACTTCTAGGTTAAGAAACCAAGACATAGGGAAGATAAATATTTGGCTTTACCTTATAATCAGTGCCACAGCAGGTCTCCCACTAGTTGAGCCAGTCTGATTGCTATAATACCAAGTTCACTCTCAACTCAAGGTAAGTGCTATGTTATGACAACTGTGATGAATCTGCTTGGTTGCCAGTGGAATCCACCAGACACAGGAACATCAAACTTGAGTCCAGATTTCAAGTATTTGAAATATTTGAAATTTCAAGATTTCAAGTATATTTTTAATATGTCAGGAGGAAGAGCCTAGGTAGGAAGACTCTCCTATTTTCCTCTCAATGGTTTACTTTTGCATGTGCGACATAGGGGGTTTCTGAGTCCACAAACTGGATTGCTTATTGGATTTTGGACAGTCCACATTCAAATAAAGCATTTTAACAGCTACTAGAAAACATTGACATTTCTTCCTGGTCATGTTACACCTTCTCTCTGTGGAAGTTCATTACTGCCTTGGAATAAATATCATCGTTCATTTGTACTTAGTTACAAACTTTGTATTCCATTAATATATTTATGAATCCCTTTATCGTTCACCAATTTAACATTTCTCATTGCATTTTCATTTTATTATCATTTTTTGATTCTCAAATCAAAAATTTTGAAAATTTTAAAGATTCAACGTACTTGGTCTGATTCTTTTTTTTAGTGTCTGCTTAATGCTATTATGAATATATTAGAGAGAAATTTAGTGTGGTTTTTCACTTTAATTGGAGAAAAGTATTTCGCAGCTGGGGTCTGTATAATTTTCCTTCTAATTTTAAAAATAGTTTAGCTTTGAGAAGGCCTATGTAGAATAGATGTCTTCCCAATGAGTAGATTGAGAAATAATAGGGGTTCAATTACTAAGATGAATATTACCTGTATTTATTTTTAGTATCT